GGGGCTGTCCTGTGCACTGAAAGATGTTTAGGAACATTCCTGGGTTCTACCCGCTATATGCTAGTAGCGCCCCCTCTCCAGGTGGGTGGGTTGCTCCTGGCTGAGAACCACTAGCCTACAGAATCCACCAGAGGGATCTATGAGTCCTCCAATCAATCGTCTTTTTTCTTTCCCTTGCTCTTTTCCAAATTGCATGGAGTCGTTTTTACATACTGTGGTTGAGACCAGTGAACTCTGTCACATATCTGAGAGAATTTATGGAGGCAGTCTAACCACAGTTCATGGAAAGAGAATGGGATTTGAAGTCAGAAAACCCAAAGTTAAGTCCCTACTGGTGTGATGGACTAAACTGGGAGCACATCTCTGTTGCCCACAACGTCCCTTCCCCCAGCATTTCTTAGCAGGGGAGATAATGTAGGTATCTGCAAACATCTCCTGGGGGAAACTGGAATTTTCACCCCCAGTGGCTCAAAGAGACATTCTCAGCCTGAGTGGTTGTCCTTCATGTGTCCAAGGCAGCCTAGAATGGAGTCCAAATTCTCCACGCAACTACGTTATCATTTCTAAAGGGCGTCAAAGCATGTGAACAGGAGGAACTGTGTTCCTCATGAGAGGCTGGACAGTGTTTTCTTGGACAATACAATCATTTGTGGCACATTTCATAACTGAAGAGGAAAATGACTTCAGTCTTGGCGGTGGGGAACCTGGAGTGTGGATATCTACCATCATCTCCCAGTGACGGGGCCGCAATGAAGGGACCAGAGTCCTCTGAGAGCTGGTGAAAAGGGTCTCTGCTCTTTTCTCATGTGGGGAGAAGTGAACTTTCTGAGGGAGGTGGTAGGGAGTCGCCTTAAAAAGGACTGCAGGATGAGAACAAGAGGGGATTGAGAAGACACAGGGATGTTATATATGCGAGGGAAACTCTCCGCCCCCACCCCCTAACGGGGCAGCTAAGGCACTGAAGCCCCCTCTGAACTGTGCAACTGACACATAAGGAACTGCCTGGACCTCCAGCGCACTGTAGCTTGGGACAGTCTACGGGAGTGGCTGTGACAGTACCAGGGAAGGGGCAGGCCCTTTCCATGAGAGACTGGCACAGGCGCTGTGGATCTGGGGTGGAGGGGAGGGTACCCAGGCCTCTCCTTGTAGATATCTATCAGGTAGACCTGAGGCCAGCCCTCTCCATCCCCCTTCCCTGCTTAATTTTCTCTAGTAACACTTATCAGCCTCTGACTATTGAGTCTTACTCCAACTGGAATATAAGCCTAGGTTGGCAAGGATTTTTGATTATTAAGTTCACTGATGGTTACACAGTGTCTAGAACAGCACCTGGCATATAATACAAATTTTTTGAAAGGACATTCTCCCCTGAAACATGGAAAGAGAGCCCTGCTACACCCAGCTTACATATACACTAAGCTGTGCAACATTTGGCAAGCCACTCAACCTCTCTGAGCCTTAGTTTTTTCATCTATAAAATGGGATTAATGGAAACACTTATCTCACAGAATTGCTTTAGGGATCAGCATGGCAGAACTTCCTAAGGTAAATTACTACTACTTTCACAATGTTTGTAAAGCATTTGGAATGCTAGAGATGCTGTTAGAAGTTTCTTGGAACTTTAAAGCATTTCAGAGCTAAGGACTCCGAGAGAGTGTAGAAGCAGGGAGCAAGTCTGCTGGAGGACCCTGTTTTACAGAATTCTAACTGGCCTTGAGTGCACAGAATTCATTAGACTCCTGGCCATCAGGGGGCACTCACCACCGAGGTTTGCAGAAATCCTTCCCTTTGACTCCTGTTTGTCCCCTTTCTGTCTCTCTTGTCTGCACTGATTCAGCGGCTCATTCTAGATTTCACCTTCAACGAATGAATTTCCTGATTTAAACTCTTATCTTTCAATTTGTCCTAATTCTTTACTAACTACATCTGCCCTTTCTGACTTTGGATTCAGTTCTGCCCACCTTTGGACCCTGACCTTTAGATCTCGGCACTCTTCCCTTCATCTGTTCTGGTGGCACTTTAGGTGTAAACCTATACCGTTTGAACTACATATATTTGAGCTACGAATACATTAACATTATTAAAGAGTAAAAAAACATCGTCAAACTGATACCGAGAGGATGATATCTGTTGTGCAAATTATCCCAGAGAAAGGTTCCATCTGGTAAGCCGTATAAAATAACGTGGCTGCCGTTGGGCAGGTGGGAGTTTAGATGCTGCAGAGTCTGCATGACGCTGGAGTACAGTTTCTCAGGAGTGGTCATTTCTGGGACTGGGTCCCTATTCCTATTGGCGAAAGGAACAGAAAATACCTTAGGGGATTACATGGATAAATGCATGCAAATACAAGACACGCCCTCCTCCCCCACCATGCACACACAACGTAATGGATATTGGTATTACTTGCTAAATATTTCTGGTTTCCTGACTCCCTTGGGGTTGGGTGAGCCATTGACTGGTCTGGACCATGATGAGTTGTGAGCAGAAGTGACATGTGACATGTTTGGTAGTACAAGAGCCTCTAGAATGCCCTTTCTCTTTGCCATGGGTCTGGGCAATGTTCTACATAGCAGCTGCTTCACCAGTCTGAGTCCTGGAACAGAGCTCAGTGGTGATCCCTGATGGACAATGTAGTGTGAGTGAGTAAATATTTATTACATCTTGCTACTAAGATTTTAGGAGCTGTTTGTTCCTGCAGCATGATTTTACCTATCCTGACTAATACACACATTAATGGAATTGAATGAGTCTGGTATTGCTTATTATTCGTTTGACATGTTGAGATCTGCAACTTGGTTTTTAAAACTTGTCACATATACCACAGTCAGAGAAACAGAATTTCACTGAGAAATGAAGTGACATTATGTTTCCACACTACATCCTTTCTTTCTACACTGAATCTGAACTTTCATAAATTTCCTGATAGACTGCTCTTCCAGGCTGTACAACAATCTCTGTCAACAGACAATTCCCGTGTGCATCATTGCCTTTCTCTGCGTAGCAGTGCTTGTGCTCTATAGAGAATATTTCAAATTTTAAATTATATTTTAATCTCCTTGTTCACAAAAGTTAGTGAAGACAAAAAAAAAGAGAAAGTGCTGAAAGTAGTTATAAGAGCATGCTTTTAAAATTAAAGAAGTTAAGATGAAGATGTAAATCATAAATAAATTGCAAGTAGCAAATCTTAAGCTTCAATCAGACATTTATTGAATTTAAGCTGGTTGACTTACTTTCATTTGGTTTGGAAAAGAACAAAAATAAGAAATGTACAAAGTACTAGAAATACATCATTGAAAATTCCATTTAATCTTTCTTCCTTTTCTTTGTTTCTTCTTTCTTTCTTGTAATGTTTAAATGGCAAAGTATAAATAGGGATTCTAGAATATTTTTTGGACTTAATATATAAGTCTACTATTGTTCATTTTTTGCACAGTTGACTTTTGTAGAAGCCTTTAGGAACACATCAAATTTGAATGAAGATACTAACCTGCATTAACCTGGGAGTAGAATATAGAATTCTCTAAGATTTTTAATCTACTCTTAAGGCTTTAAACTGCCTGTTGTTAACCTAAATAGAATAATGCTATCAGTTGTTTTCTATTTTAAGTCCTTAATATTCCAGATTTACCTAATGATCCTACAGTGATTGAAAAGTGTCCCTCAGAACATGACCTTATATGGAAATAGGGTCTCTGCAGATGTAATCAGCTAAGATGAGGTCATCCTGGATTAGGGTGGGCCCTAAATACAATGACTAGTGTCCTTGCAAGAAGAGGAGAGATACACAGACACCACACAGGGAAGAAGGCCATGTGAAGCTGGAAGTGGAGATGGGAGTTACGTTGCCACAAGCCAAGGAATTCTGAGGACTGCAGGGAGCCATCAGAAGGGTGGGAAGACAGAGAAAGGATTTTTCCTAGACACTTCGGAGGGAGCACGGCCCTCTGATGCCTTGACTTCGGACTGCCGGCTTCCGGCACTGTGAGAGAGCACCTTTCTGTTGTTGGAAGTCGCCCGGCTTGTAGTGCTCTGTCACTGCAGCTCTAGGGGACCTGAGACATTCCAAACCAGAAAAAGTAAGCTCAGTACTCACAAGCTGGACCTGAGACATAAGAGACATGGGAAGAGGGGACAGAAAGAAGCCCCCAGGAGTCCACTATTGTCACTTATAAGGGAGCTGCTCCTAAACAGATACTGGTGGTGTCATTTTGGAAGGAATTTTTCCAAATGTGTCAAGATTTGAAGTTGGCTTAACTTTTAACCTTGACATTTCTCTTCTGGGAAGTTGTCTTATCATAATATTTCCACAAATGTGCAAAAATGTACATACAAGTATTGCAACATTTCTCGGAATAGGGTAAAATTGGAAAAAGCTAAAAAGCCCGGCCACTTAAATTAAGTACATCCATGCAGTAAAACCCTATACAGACATTAAAAAGAGCGCAGTCACCAGATACAGGTGATGGTTGCACAAAATTCTGAATGTACTTAAATGTTGCTCAATTGTTCACTTTAAAATGGTTAATTTTACATTATGTGAATTTCACCTTAATATAATAAAAACATTTAAAAAAGAGTAATCTGTATGTATTAGCATGGAAAAGACTGCTAAAAGTTATTGTCGATTGAAAAGAACAAATTGCAGAGCAGTAAGCATATTATTTCATTTCAATGAATATTAATGAGTGTATAAATTAGAATTTGCATAAGGAAAATCTGGATACCAATACACGAAACTGTCTCTGTTGGTTAGCTTGGGGCAGGATGGCAGGGGTTTGGCAGGGAGTGATTCTGGGGACATTCTCACTTCCTAAGCCCTGTATTGTTATTTGACCTTTCTGGCAGCAGGCATGATTTTGTAATCAGAGAAACAGTCAAAAGGAAAGGAATTCTCGTATCATTTTCAGTCTTTGTAAAATGAGGAAGAAAACTAAGCTTTAATGGGAGGGGCAGAAAATGTAATTTTATGTTATTTCCTGTCCACCTATTTCATTTAGTCAAATAAAATCACTTCTCAAATTGTTGCTGTTCAGGTGACAGGCTGACCGTGGGTGTGAGGATCGCATGGGTTAACTTGTAATGAGCAACATGTCCCCGTACAGAGGATAAGGTGGGGCAAGTCTGATGTTTGGGCTGCTCACTGTGGTTGATAAATGTGCTTCTACACGAGGTAATGAGTTCCCCGGACTTTGTGAAAGGAAGAGAGGGGGTGGGTTGAGGAGGAGGGGAGAGAGACAAGGAAAGAGAAAAGGATGTCCCATTTTCCAAAACACCAGCATGTAGAATAGAATGCTAAATCCATGTTTTTCATTACCTTGGGGAAAAGTATATGACTTTATGAGTAAAAAGCTCCGTAGCCTGCATAAAAAGCACTCAGAAGGATTGGAGAATAGGTTGCCTACCTACTAGGGGCAAAAGTCCGATAAGACTTTGACCTGACTTGCAGACGCACAGAAGCACCAGAAGACCCCAGTCTGTGAAGGGGACTCAGGCTGCCTTGTGGATTTGTTCAGACCAGAAGAACCTACCCAGAGTAACCGGATTTTATCTCCACTGTGTGTTTAGAGTGAGATAGCAGGAGAGAAATAAAGCAAGCTGGGTGTCTACAGCCTGTCTTCTGTCATTGGTACAGCTAGCACGCATGCCTATTAACTTTTGCCTTGGCATCTCGAGGTTTTTTTTTCTGCTGATACAACAGCACTTTGGCACAAAGCAATTATGCTGAGCTAAGGCTCTCCAAACACATAAAGGCAAGATGAGTTAAGATGGAGCAAAGTCTCCCAGACTCCCTATTTAATGATTATTTTTTGGTTAGAGACACAACCCCGATGATAAACAAAGGATCTCAGCTAATCTGCATTTATGAAAGGGCCCCTCACAAATTAAGCAAGCATAACCAAAATGGCTAATTGCTAAGTGAAATCAGAATTGGAAGTCTTGGTGTTTCTGCTGGAACATTCTTCAGTCGTCCTTACTCCATCATGTACGGCTAGATAATTTTCATATGTGCAGTGCCGGTTAAATCCTGTAGTGTGCATAGCGAAGTTAACCAGTTCTTAGTTCAGGCAAAGGGCAAAAGGGTCTAAGCGACAGGCGGTGGGTCATCTCTTCTGGATGTCATGGAAGGTCCCTCTGACTCTGGCCCTGAAAAATTCTCAGTGCCATTTTGATCTGTGTACTCTTTCTCCTCTGGCAATTTTTGAGGGGACTTTGTACTAGTATTTTGGGGATCAAAGAGTCCCAGTGGTTTGGGAAACACCTCCTTGGCCTTCCCTGCTGTCAAAGGCTGAGTGGGCTGAGCTGAGAGTATCTAACCCTCTTCACCCAGGTGCTCCGGAGCCGGTGTCACATCCACTCTGCCATCCCAGGTTGGCCTGCCCACCCCAGTGCCCTGCATCCATCCTCACACACGTCAGTCACTCAAGGAGGGGTGAGGGGTTGGGGTGTGGGCTTACAGAGGAGAAATATGAAAACCAGGTTGAGAGATGTGGTGATGCTTATGACAGGAAAATGAGAGAAGTCGGTGCCCATCACCAAGGTCTCCCACGTCAGGAACACATGGGTGGGGTTGGAACAGATAAAGAACCTTGCCTTTGGGGTGGCTCGGAGTCTGTCCTTGTCCTAATGAATTGTGCCTGATCATGCAAAATAAGCCTCATGACTCGGGTATGGGGCCAGCCATGATCATTTCATTACCCTGGCAGGTGTTCCAGCCAGATTTCACCTGGCTGATGGCAGGTGTGCCCAATCTCAAGGAAGAAGGCAAACAGCCTCCCCAGAAAACATTGCTCAAAGCCAGAGCTAAAGCCCAGAGACAGACCTGTGGTGACTGAGTGCTCAGATGTCGCTCACAACCAACTTTCGTACTTTTGAAACATCCAGGTGATACAGTTAGTTAGCCCTTTTCTTCAGGTCAGCCAGTTGCAATCACAGTATTGACCTCCCACCCAACCTCCTTGAAGAGGCATCTTGACACAGACTGGGAATGGGATGGGGGCCCACTGGGCCCACATTAGCAGATGCATGAGAGATCCTGGGTCCCATAAAAGTGGACTGTGACCTGGAACATGCTGGCTGGTTGAGGAACTCCTTATCATTCCCTTGAAATGATATTGGCCACCCATACCTCCACAGAGGAGGCTGGGAGAGAGAATTCCTCAGAGCATTCTGTCCATTCCCTTCTCTGCTGGTTTTCCACCACTGATTGGAGAGAATGGATTGTTTCCTGGCTCCTGGCAGTCTGTGACCTATCAGCACCGTGGCTGCTTCCTCTTAGCGGTGCTCATCAGCTATTCTGGCTACATCTGAAGCATTGGCATTGCAGAAAAATGCTTGGGAGCCCGGGACACAGGCAACATCTGTAGGGTGGTCCTGGTTCTCTCCATTAAGTGAAAAATGTTTGTTTTATAATTTCTAGGTCTACTTTAAAAAATGGATTAATGTCCATTTATGTGCCTAGTGTTAAATGCTTCTAAATTTTTATCACATTTCCAGTAATCACTATGTTCTTTTCAGGGACGTCATGTTGGGAAATTGGGGAAGGTTTGTCATTGCCCTGCATAGTTTGAGGCACTTGAGGTCATTCCCATTTCTCACTGTTGCCCTTGATACCCAAGACTCTGCTGCTGGAGCTCATCATATTTGCCAGATTTCCAGGAATTTGTCTCCTTCTGTATCACTCACATTCTACCGCTTTTGAAGGCAGTGCTAGGAAAAGCCCAAGGAAGCCACCTTAGCTTCAGCCAGATTGAGTCAAGTTACATGAGAATGCTAGGTCTATACTACCTTTCTTCTTGAATTCCCGACACTAAAAGCTATCTTCCAATCACGACCGTCATTCATTTAACAGTCATTTGTTAACTACATGAGTTTGCAGAATTAAGAAAGAAGCACATAGCTGCATCACTTCACTAGCATCATCATAAAAAAAGGAAAAGAAAAAAGTCAAGCAAATAGTCTGCAAGTTTTTCCAGGATGGACTTATTATGCAATTCGTCGCTGGCTTGAGCTTTTTATGAAATCACTTTGCTCATTTTGGGTAAACTACTCCACCTTGACGTTCTGACAGATGGGGAGGTAAAGTCGCCATCTGTCTTTATTTTTCTAACCCCTCCACAGGACGTTGCAGAGTGGGCACTGCGGGCACATCCCACACTGCCAACTCCATCCTTTCACCCAAATGCTGGCTGTTTCTCTGCCCAGATCCCCGGAGTGGAGAGAGGCTGGCACCAGTCTCTGGCTGATGTCTGCCCTTTGGCTCTTTGGAAAGGGAGGAGCAGAGCTGGACTGGAGGGGCCTCTGGGTGTGCAGCTTCTGCTGCAAAAGTGCAGTTTCAGGGATTTTGACTTTTGGACTCAAAGCCCCTTTCTGAAAGTGTTCTTTACCCAGGATAACCAGCCTTACTCAGTGGGGACAGGATCCAGACGTTAGAGGGACACTGGCTGATCTGACCATAGGTTTGTTTTATTTTGTGATGGGATTGGAGGCTGAAGCCCATTGCTTCTCCTTCCCTAAGCTCCTTGAGGTCAAGGACAGTGGCCTCCTTGCCATTGTATCTCAGAGCTGGGCACAGAGCTTGGCACTCATAGACGGTCAATACATACTTGTTAAAGTGAATGCAGAAAAGAAAAGCAAGTAAGCAAGTGTGGACTGTAGAAAGAGCACAGACTTTAGTCAGAGAACCTGATTTGGCTCTTAGCTTTGCTGTTCACTGCTGGTAGGAGGAAGTTCCTTATCTAACCTTGCCAAACCTGTTTCCTCCTTTGTGAAATGCGACACTCACACTTGCCCCTTAGAGCTGCTGCAGAGAGTGGTGTGGCTCTTGGCTCATGGAAGGTTTTGCGGGTGTTTGCTCTTTATTGGAGAGTTTCAGGTGGCTCATCACAGAGCTTCCTGTGGGGACTTGGGTCCCCAGCATGGAGCCTTGGCAGACTTGGGGTTCTGGGGGCTGCCAAGGCCAGGCACGTCAGCATCTCTGGATCACAGTATGGTATGTCCTGCCCTGAACTCACTTCACTGATTAGGTCTGCACCTCCTTTAGCACAAGGGTTCTGGGGCTCTCATGGAGGCGGCCGTGAAGGCAAACACACTTTAACAGTACTGAACTGTGTCTTAGACAGCCTGGTGAGTGAAGTATGGGAAAGCAAAAGGGGCGCAGTGAGCAGGTGGCTACTCCTAGCACCACTTGGGTTGCAGTCCAGCTCTGCCATCAGTCAATTAATTGGGCAAGTCACATAACCTCTCTTGGCTTTACTTTTCTATTTTCTAAAATGGTGGGTGGGTGGCTACAGGGGAATTGTTTTAGATCTGATCTCACCTTTTTTTTTCCCTTTTTGGCCATGATCACAGGACAGATGGCATTCACATGTGCGGCGTATTCTTAGGGGTACACACAGACACAGATTTTGAGAAGCCTTCCAAACTGTTGTAGGGGAAAGAAGGCGTTCAGCATTTTAAAATCACTACTGATATTAGTAGTTTAGCAAAATGACTTTCTCACTATGGGCCATGGGCATACATAGGATTAGCTGTGAATTATATGCAGTTCCTTTGCAAACTTCCAAGTCTACGCTGTCTCTACCATATGAGTACGTAAATCAGAATATGAGTGAGGAAGCTGTTCCAATGGGGTGGCTGTGATTTTATTTAAAAATGGTAGCCTTATTTTATTTAAAAAGTCATGATTCTTAGTCTTGGATTTTTGTCTAGCAGTAGCATATTTCTTGTGGTACAACTCAGAACTGATCATGACACACCCATTTGTTGTGAGTCAGAACAAAGAATGAATGGATCAGATATTTTTAAAAGGGTCTTAAAAAAAAAGGGTCTTGAGATGTAGTATATATATACATATATGTATATATAGAGACAATGGAATACTACTCAGCCATAAAAAAGAATAAAACAATGCCATTTGCAGCAACAAGGATGGACCTGGGGATTGTCATTCTAAGTGAAGTAAACCAGAAAGAGAAAGAAAGATATCATATGATAAATCATTTATATGTGGAATCTAAAAAGAATACACAAATGAACTTATTTATAAAACAGAAATAGACTCAGAGACATAGAGAACAAACTTATGGTAACTGGGGGAGGGGAAGGGGGAGGGGGATAAATTGGGAGTTTGAGATTTGCAGATACTAACTACTGCATATAAAATAGATAAACAAGTTTCTACTGTATAGCCTAGGGAACTATATTCAATATCTTGTAGTAACCTATGATAAAAAAGAATAGGAAAACAAAAAAATACTAAAAAAAAAAAAAAAGGAAACTCATAGAAAACTCATAGAAAAAGAGATCAAGCTTGTGGTTACCAGAGGTGGAGGGGTGGAGGAAGAGGGAACTGGAGGAAGGTACTCAAAAGGGACAAACTCCCATTCATAAGATAAATAAGTACTAGGAACAGAATGTACAACATGTTAAGTATAATTAACACTGTTGTATGATATGTAGGAAAGTTATTAAGAGAGTAAATCCTGTGAATTCTCTTCACAAGGAGAAAAATTTTGCTGTTTTCTCTTTCTTCTTTCTTTCCTTTTTATTGTATCCATATGAGGAGATGCATGTTAGCTGAACCTATTGTGGTACTTATTTCATAATATATGTAAATCAGACCATCATGCTGCACAACTTAAACTTACGCAGTGATGTATATTAATTATTTCTCAATAAAACTGGGGGAAAAATCAAAAATTAAAAGAGGGTCTTTCAGCGTTGTAAGTTGCTTCTGTTGATTTCATGTGTTTCTGGGACTTGCTGAGACCCAGAACGTCAGTTCAGTAGCAGGCTCCTGTAAAAGAGCTGAGTCGAGTGCAGAAGAGGGGAAACCCAGAGTCAAAGAATTTTCAGAACTTTCTCAGTAACTCACCCACTGCAGACATCGTTTCCAATCATGGCATAGATGACAATGGCTGGCTGGTCCAACAGTTGGTTCCTAGACAAACTGAGAAGCCATAGATGGAATCTGAATGTCAAAGACTTGGAAGCCTAGTTCTGTAACCAACCAATCTGTGAAAGAATCTTTGTGTGACTATCCTCTTGGTAACTTTTTGCATTTTTCTTTCATTCCAGTATCACCATTCCCATTTCCTCTTTCTTCTCTATAATCTCTAACCCACTTCTCCATTAGGAAAAGACCACATGAATGCACAGAACTGAAGAGTAGATTGAAATCTTCAGCAGAGGAACATGCTACTATCTTCATAGCATCTTTAACAGCATTTGTTGTCAATAAACACAGGTGAGTTACCTGGGTTACTTAAGTCCAGATTCATAGGACATTATGACAGCTGAGGACCTGTAGTCAACTTTGAAAAATCAAGGGTTTCCCAATGTTTCTATTCTATTCTGGGCACCCAGGAACTTGATTCTGAATTTTAAGCTCAACATGAGCACAAAATTGTTTTCTTATTTGTAAAGCAGGAGTAAGAAACAATCTTTTTTGTCTTTTTCAGACACTTTGGCCATACCTAGGTTTTACCCACTTTGTATACATTTTTATGATCCTTATTTAAGGACATATGCAAATTAATCACTTCTTATGCTCAGTGGCCGAAGAAGTTATAACTTCCCAGTGTTTGGAGAGTGACTAACAAGCTATGGATGCTCAGTACAAGTGATTACTGGGTAACCAGAGAGAGTTCTCATTTATTTTTCAAAATGAGAGACCCAGTTTAAAAACAACTTCTAATATCCCTCTCTCCACCACTTACCTTTCTATGAATCTTTTCAGGTTTTGGGAAGATGCCCCTGAATAATTAAAATTAACAAAATAATTAAAGTTAGAAAGTTCAATTCAGCACTATCATTATGAGAGTTTGATTGATTGCCTTAAATCAGGGAAGAAGCATTATTGTACAGTTGGAGGTCAACCAAACCATCATGCTGCTGGGAATAACTTCATCCTGCAACTCTCTTTAATGGGTTTTCTGTTTACTTGGCATTGTATTAACATAATCCTAAAAATGTTAGAGGCACAGATTTCAAGACATTTCTTAAGCCTGAATGAGTAAACTTTCTAGTAGATGTGAGAAAAATGTATATATCAATCAGCAAAGACAGAAACAATCCAAAGATTAAGGAATGAATCGACGGGTGAGAGAATAGTAAAAAGGATTGCGAGTTGCCCATCTCCTGAGAAAGCCCCATTTGATAGCCTGCTGGTGTTACTGTGCATTCCTGAGGTGCTTCCAGGCTTGCTGGCCTGTGCAAAGTTCAGACTGCAGAGTTGATATTTCAGCTCCTGTAATGTCGTGCATGGCCATCCTCCCCCATCCCCGTGACCATTTGTAATACATCTCTTATATGAAAACTGCATTTATTGAATACTCATTTTATTATAGATACTCTGTTAAGCATTATTAGTTTAGTTAGGCCTTCATACCACTGTGTGAGGTAGGCATAGAATGGTATTACTATTCCCATTTTATAGATGAGGAAACTGAGGCTCAACTAAAGTAAATTGCCCAAAGCCACACAACTAACAATTTGGGGAACTGAAATTCAAACGCAGTCCCTTCTGTCTGTAATGCTGGGCTCTGGCTCCCCGTGTGACTCTGCTTCTCTAGACTGGGAGTCTGGAAAGAGTGAACCCAAATAGCTTTACTGTTTCCTGTCCCTTGGAGGATAGTCTCTGTACTTAGTGAGTAACCCTCAGTTACATTCACATTTAACTCAGGGGACATCTCTGTACTTAGTGAGTAACCCTCAGTTACATTCACATTTAACTCAGGGGACATCTCTGTACTTAGTGAGTAACCCTCAGTTACATTCACATTTAACTCAGGGGACACAGAAGATTTCCCTGTAACTTGCAGCTTTGGAAGCGGGGGGTGGGGGGTGGGGAAGGCGAGTGGGTGTTTCTGCAGATCCATGTGGGACAAAGGGCAGTGCAGAGCCAGGAGGAGCAGGCTGGCCTGTCTTCCCTTGAAACTGTGTGACCATGCGGGGCTGCCTGTTTCCACATCCAACTAGATACAAGCTGTATGGGCAGCACTGAAGTCCTCCTGGCTGATTCAGGAATGTTAGTACAGTAAATGAGTATTGCTTTATTTCCTTTTTTATAGTGGTCAAATATACAACACATAAAAACGTAACCATTTTAACCCTTTTTGAGTATGCAATTCAGTGGCATTAAGTACATTCACACTATTGTGCAGCCATCACCACCATCCATCTCCAGAACTCTCCCATTATCCCAAATTGAAGCCCTGGACCCATTAAAGAATAACTCGCTATAAACCCGTCCCCCAGCCTCTGACAACACCATTCTACTTCCTGTCTGTATGCCTTAACCTACTCCAGGTACCTCCTATAGGTGGAATCATACCATATTTGCCTCTTTGGGGCTGGCTTATCTCACTTAGCATCATGTTCTCAAAGTTCATCCATTTGCAGCATGTGCCTTAATTTCCTTCCTTGTAAAGGCTAAATTATGTTCCACTGGATGTACAGGCCACATTTTATTTATCCATTCATCCACTGATGGGCATTTGGGTTGCTTCTACCTTTTGGCTATTGTGAATATGCTGCTATGAACATTGGGGTGTGAGTATCTGTTTAGGTCCTTATTTTCAATTCTTTTATTTAATTGAAATTGCTGGACCATATGGTAATGCTGTGTTTAATTTTCTGAGGACTCATCATACTGTCCTTGTTTCCTTTTTGTAGTGAGGCATTAAGTATGCATACAGACATACAAATTAAGAGCAGTTCATCTTGGCATGCCTGCATTCATTCACCCTCTCATTTGTTGAGCACCTGCCACACGCCTGACACACAGTAGGGAGTTAACAGATGCGTTGGACACGTGGCCGCTCTGCCTGAGGGTTACTGTCTGTGGGGGCAGACACATAACTGAACCGGTGAAAGGTTTAATGCAAATCCAAACCCAGAGAACTCAATGTGATTTGAGCTTATTATCTCCCCTCGGAGAAGGTGCCAGATTTTACAACACCGAGTCCTAAATGCAGAGACTAAAGGTAGTTCTGGGTGTGAGATCGCTCTCTCTTGTTCTCAGGAGGGAAGAGCAGGAGGGCAGTTGCCCTGGGGGCCCCTGGGGGCTCCCTCTTCTCCTTGGCCGGGCCCTTCACGCAGTGCCAGTCCCATGACGCTCAACTTCCCATCCTCAGTCAGAGATAATAAATCAGGAGGTGTTTAATTCTCACTCTTTGGTTTTTCTTTTAATGAGAAATGAAAACTAATGAAAGCTGAAGCCAGGAGTGGGGAAAAAAAATGAACGGACCAGGTCAGGCCAATAATTTTCCTCATTATCCAGGACACAACTGGGAAAATGAGAAGCAGAGAACAGCATGGAGCTGGGGATGGAGATGAGAGCCTGTCCCGGCATGTCACTCCCCGTACCCCCACACCCCAACACCCCTCTGCTGCTCAGGACAAGGACGGCAGGCCAGTGGCAGCGGCTTGAGGTGGATTTAAAAGAAGCAATCACAGACATCTGCCCAAGGAGACAGGAAGTGCCCACTCTCCTTCACCCAAATGTTTCTTTCTTCCTGGTGGGTATTTATAATGTGAGCACAGAATTTTCTTTGCTCTAAAGTTGTTGCACCGTCCACGATTTCCATTTCCTTTT